CTAACAGATTTATTTAGGGCTTGGTTGTATCATCAGACTGTGGGAAGCAGGCAGAGGTGTGGTCGGGACAAGACGAGGGTCAGAGCTGGGGAGATCATTAGCGAAGACAGGAGGGGCAAACCAGAGGCAGATCCAAGGTTGATAGTCCAGGTAGTCAGACGCAGAGAAACAACCCAGGCGGGGAGCAGGCACGTGGGCAGGTCGAGGTTCAGGCAGAGGTCAGGAGTGCTGGAGATTTTACTGGCAAGAAGCGCTCAATAATCCAGCAAGGTGCTGGTGGCTTGCTGGAGTTTATATAGCTGAAGTGGCAGGTGAGCTGGATGTCTTGATTACAGGTGTGGTGAGTTGGGCTGATGAGAAGGAGGCTGATGGTTACAGGGGAAACCGAGCACGGCTGGAACATGACGGAGAGCTTCCATCCCTCTGGCATCACTCCATTTCCGCTTCAATTTTTCTGAGTTTTGACACGTTTTACCTGTTAACCCCATAGACCATCTACCATTCAACGGAATCAGTATCTGAACTCGTGCATACAGCTTTATCAGTCCTGAGTTTAAAGTCGTAACAAGTTATTCAAATAAGCTTCAAAGCGTGGGCATTCCAAAATTAAAATCTAAAATTGTTAGTGATTCTTATACACATATGATCACCTCATTTGATGTAAAGCACACTAAAACGGTAGTCTGAGAGTTTGAAGCTTTAAAGGTTAATGTTAGAAAATATGTAATAAATGTAGAAATTTTGTTTTTCTATTTAAACAGCTGATGTTACATTTCAACAATAAAAGTTCCTTTTTTCTTGCCTACAAGAGAATCATTGATATATTGAATACGCACACATCTAGCTGTCAGTATTTATAAAGTTGTATTCAAAGACATTTGTCAGTTTCCAAGATAAAAAAACACTTTTTTTAAAATAAATGCCTTTATTTCAGGTTCCATGCACCTGATTATTTTACCCAGATCAGACTCTTCATCTTTGACTTGTAGATCGAGTTCAGATTGATTCTTTCAGCAGAATGAACCTTCGTCAGTTACACTTTTGTTCAGAGGAAAAACAAGAAAGAAGAAGAAAAGATCTTCTCTATAGCGCCTCTCAAGATAAAAATCACGAGGCGCTTCACAAAAACAAAAAATGTAAAATATAAAAAAAATTTAGAAAATGATCAAAAATATATTTAAAATGAGCAAAAAATAGACAATTGTGATTAAAAAATGTAAAGAAAGAGAGCGGAAAGCAAAGAGGGAAATCAGTGGATCCTGAGGAAGGTGGCCTAGGTAGGGAGAGCAGAATAAGGAGAGGGTGATGAAGGTCACACCAAAACCAGCCTGAACAGGTGAGTTTCAGCTGCTTTTTAAAGGAGACCACTGAGTCCACTGATCTCAGGCTCAGGGGGAGAGAGTTCCAGAGTCTGGGGGTCACAGCAGCAAATGATCTGTCACCTTTGGTCTTTAGCCTGGTGCACTGCACAACCAGTAGGCTTTGATCACTGGACCTCAGGGAGCTGCTGGGGGTGTAGGGACTGAGAAGATCGCCAATGTATGATGGTGCTTGTCCATGTAAGGCCCTATAGACCAGAACCAGGATCTTGAAATGAGCCCTGAAGACAACAACTCATATTCAATGAGTTATTTACAGACGGGCCTGTCTGGGTTCAGTTCTGTGAGATTTGTTTGACGTGTTTGACTCATTTGGAGTTTTATGAGCTTCCCTGTGAGCAGAAATCAGAATAACGTGAGACAAAAAAGGGTTTGTAAGGTCATTTACACAATGAACGAATGCCTTCATTGTAAATGTACGCTTTCCTGTCCAGGTTATGTAAGATACTTTAGAAAAATAAAACCACTAAACATATAAAAGATAGTGCCAGTGTTTACAATTTTGTTTTGCTTTTATTTTAAATAAAGGGTGTGGATGTCATCATTAAACAGGTTATCACACTTTAATGTCACAGATTAATATCTGTTTAATGCAGGGGCCAGGGGTGATGTCTGCATGTGATGTACAATCCAGTCCAGTCAGTGCATTTGTTAAATCAGTATGTCTGTGAAGGTTGTCAGTCATCCAGGTCATTGTAGTCTAAGGAGCTTTGAAAGAAAAGCGTCTGGACTTCTTTGAGTTGCTTGAAGACGTTTAACCTCTCATCCGAGAGGCTTCGGCAGTTCTAAGGTGAAATGGTGGAGAGTCCCATATTCAAACCCAGTGGGAGTTTCCCCCCGAAGAGGGAACAAAAGACCCCCTGATAATCTTCTGCATAACAACATAGAAGAGCCACCTCCACGGGACAGGACTCAGCAGTTCATTTGCATCTAAAGGACAAAGGTCACTCTTTTGAGGATGCCAACGTTCACGTTTTGGACAGAGAGGACAGATGGTTTGAAAGAGGAGTAAAGGAAGCCATTTATGTCCACTGTGAGCAACCATTTTTGAACAGAGGCGGTGGTTTACGACACCAACTGTCTGCCATCTATGATCCAGTTTTGAGATCCCTTCCCAGATGCCTCAACGCCCACGCATATCCTGGGCCGTCTGACCTCAGGAATTCACATGATAGGGTGGGGCCAGGCTTCACAATGAGCTCACCTGAAACTCTGGCTGATTAGGACCCACACCCACCCTCACACCTGGGCTCATGTGTTTATGTAGAAGATCATCAGAGGGTCTTTTGTTCCCTCTTCGGGGGGAAACTCCCACTGGGTTTGAATCTGGGACTCTCCACCATTTGACCTTAGAACTGAAGAAGCCTCTCGGATGAGAGGTGAAACGTCTTCAAGCAACTCAAAGAAGTCCAGACGCTTTTCTTTCAAAGCTCCTTAGATTAAATCAGTATGGTTATGGCTTTTCGAAGAAAAAAAAACTATTCTTAAGTCACTGGTCTTTGATCTGGTGCACAATTACCATCTCCCTGAGGGCAACAGGTCAAACAGGCTGATGATGTTTGCTCTGTTGAGACATAAATGGTTTGTACACCCATCAGGCATGGGAGAGGCCAGCCGATGATCTTCTGCACCACCTTCTCTGGAGCTTCTCCCCGTCTGTCTTGGAGCAGCTGCCATACCAGGCTGTTATGCACCACGACAACATGATTTATCGTGGTTTGATTAAAATTATTACTTAAAGACACATTTCAAATGTAGAAACTAATCTTTGTTTTTTGAGGTCTTCTTACGTTTTCTGTGAACTGTTTCATAATTACAAGTTTTCTAAACATTCCTCAAATTTCACAGACTAAACGGTTTGGATTCATGTCTGGGATCAGTTTTAGTGGTTTTTCTTCTAACAGCAGCTGACTTCATCTTCTGTTTGTTTAGGATGTGCTCAGTCATGGAGGAAAGTTAATTCTCTTTAAGTTCACTGGGTTAAATGACAAACCACTACTTATATATGTACGGTTTATGTGTACATATATATATATATATATATATATATATATATATATATATATATATATATATATATATATATATATATATATATATATATATAAACAATGTTATTTTTAAAAATAAAATACTTAACAGACCTGTAGAATTATAAAATAAGGTGTCATCATTTCCATGTGGCCTGGTGGTTTGGTGGATGACCAAGCAGTCCTAATCAGTGCCCTAAAGCTCAGTTTAGTCAAAAATCTCTCCTGTTTCAGACATCTGTTACTGCAAAGTAGTGCCAAACATGTCTTACACCAAATGACTTTGGTATAAGTTTGTCTTGTTTTGTGGGTCAAAAAAGTCTTATTACAAAACTAGTGGCTCGTAGACGCGTTCAATATCCGTCTGCATCTTAAAGAAAACTTAATATCCAGTTTAGACTGAGAGACCATCTAAAGGCCCAGGAATCCTTTGCAGGTGTTCTGGATTCATTGTGACTCTGAGTCTAGAATACTGAACCTTTTCACAATATTATACTTGTCTGAGATTTTGAATGTGGGGACTTCATCAGCTGTAAGCCATAATCATCACAATTGTATCAAATGAAGGTGGAAATATCTGGCTTTGCATGGAATGAGTCTCTCATATTAGTTTCACCTGAATCAGTGAACTTTGCACCATACTCTTGACTTTCACACATGTTCAAGAAAGTTCCCTGATTTGAAGTTTAGATGCAGCAGACATATTTAAAACATCTTCCAGACGTGTAGCAGTTGCAGAGGTCACCAATGTGACTGTAGCTATTTCTACTGGAATTTGCTTCTTTTGAGTTCATGCTGGACCCTTTTTCTACCTCTTCCAAATAGAGGCATATTGAACCGGATCCATTCAAAGCTGAATCTATTGCAACAACTGCACTCTTTCTGGAGCATGTCCACAATAACAAGAAAGTCCTTCAGTCTTTCAAAATAAGAGCCTCAAACATGCACATGTTGTGAAAGTAGTGTATGAAGATATTTTAATGTTCATCTGAGACTTTAATAGAGAAATATCTTGATTTCTTTCCCCTCAATATTTCATTTAAATCTCAGGGTTTTGTTCTTTTTTCCCTTCTAGTGGCAATGAGTCTGTTGCAGGGGCGTGGCCAGATCTTTTAAAATGGGGTGGCCCAGGTGAGGCACAACTTTGTGCATGGGTGGCACCAATGGTTATGCCTTTTTTGTTTTACCCCCCAAGCCTTTTGTGGACAATGAAAACCCTATTCAAAGGTAAATTAGTGTGTTAGCACCTGGGGTGGCCAATCAGATTCCAAGGGTGGCATGTGCTACCCCAGGCCACTCCCTGGACACGCCCCTGGTCTGTTGTAACCAAAGTAAATTCCAACTTTAAAACTGAAACCCTGCACTGTAATAGCACTGACGTGGATGAAAATGTTTTGTTAAAGAAAAACAGTTACTTTAAACTTTGTTGAAATTGTCTTGTTTGTTTAGCGAATGTTCGTTATGGGAGTGAGAACTAATATGAATCAAACTGACTCAGATTACTGACTTAATGCCAAATATGACAGAAATTAGAAATGCAGTTTACTTTTTATCTGCATGATTTTAATAATGAAATAACACCACGGATGGGTGATTATCATAAAATCTTTAATGGAATTGATATCATGCAACAAAAGAAGGAAGGAAAGGAAAACTTTTTCTGAATAATCTTTTAGAAATGCCCATTTAGAAAAAAATTGGCAAGGCCTTTTACAATTTATAGAAACGAACACCATCTCAGCGATCGTGATGCAGACCACTAGCTGGCATCTAAAATGCACAAACAAACCAAACGAGAACATTTCCTCCCCCAGAGCCAGGTTCAACCTACAGGTCACCACCGCTGCTCATGAGCACATTACTGCACATAAGAACCACAACCTGAGCTCGGTCTGCAGCAAAGATGTGACTAATTCAGAGATCTACGATAAAGCGGCAGTTTTAGATTTTACTAAACATACATCAAAGAGGGAAAAAGATCAGTAAACACATTAATGTGATTTTCAAATGAGACAAGCACCATTTAAAAACGCCAATGTGCCAAAATGTTTGCAAAGTATAAATTATTTCTTGAATTCAAAATTACTTTGAGTTTCTCTTAAAAAAAACAAACAAAGTTTCAACATAATCAGTTAAAATATTTTAGGTTTTGAAGGATGCAAAATTTTTTACAAAACAAAATAGATTTTGGCCTCAAAAAGTTACATATTCTAGTATATTCATACAATTACAGAGCCAAATCGTGGTAAAGTGTGAAAAAGAAAATACTGAGAGGAAATGGACACGGTCCTAGCCGGGCACTGGGACACATTACTCTTGTCTCACTCATTAATAAGACTGTACATGTTGTGCATTTCCTCACCAAGTCAAACAAGGTACTGTTCAGTCGACCACTTTCATGACAAAAAAAATAACGATAAAAAAATGAAAGAAAGGAAGCGAATACACCCCATACATAGAAAACAAAACAAATTCTCCTATTTTAAACATCAATGAAAAGAATCTTAAGGCAAGATGCTGAACACAGAAATCCAATAATTGCTCTGGGATGGTCTTTGTTCAGCTCGTGTGTTGTTGGCATTTACCAGTTCCATCAGCAAATCTTCAACGAGACTAGTGTGTTTCTCCCTCCTGATAGTTGGCTCTCTGTTTCAGACATCTGTTACTACAAGGTCATAAGATTCACGATGTCATCTCTGCACCCCCTGAGGCCGCTGGGAGTCGCCGTCTCCTCGCGTTCGCCGTTACGCCGGCAGGCTCAGCTTCTTGCCTTTCAACACTGCGGGGTGAGAAATTAGATGGTGGTTACACGCGTCAGCTCCTCATACGTTACACCACAACTGGGACACTTAAGTTTTATTTTATGAAATATTATAGACAAATTCTAGAAACTTTTAACCAACAACACAATAAATCACTATCTGTACAATAGATACATTTAAAACAAAACTATTTCAATTAGTGTTCTAAAATGAATAACGACGTTCTCTTGTTGAGACGCCATGATTGAGGCTTGGAGAGCCGACACAGATGTCTGATTCTTGTGCAGCTCTGAACAGAAAATACAGATTTTAGCAAACTCCACATCATCATCAAGACCCAAAAATCTGTTTCATTTATGAAAAGTGTATTTTGGAAGTTTTTAGCTGTAGAATAAATAACACTAGAGCGAATAAGAGTTTCAGGAAACATTTTTGGATTTTTAAATTATTATTATTATTATTATAAGTCAAAGCATTTACTTATTTTTTCAGATTGGACGTTCAGATTAAGCAGCTCATGCTATCATGCATGATAGTCTAATCAGCACGATTTTTTATTCCTTAATTTTTTTCTAGTTTGATTTTCCCCAACCCTTTCCTTTTATAATACATAGAGACATATAAAGCTAAATAAGAATAAAAATCGTGTGGTTTTTATTTGGAATTTCTTTCAACAACAAAAATTCCACATTAAAATTCACAAAACAGACCAATAAAATGTGTTTCTAAATGTTTGGAGCAACCTTTTCTCTCTTCCAGCCTAAAAAGGGACTTTACATCCTCGCAGAATGGAACTCATTCAAGAATTTTAGCCACAACCTCAGATCCGCTAAGGCTGAACTTTACAGGGAGGTTTTTCAGAAGAAAGACTAATAAGTACCAGACTGTTCCACTAATGGTACTCTAGGAAGAGCGAGACACATGAGCAGGACAGATTACATCAACTGATGACGCACAACGTTTGAAGAGGAATAAAAGAACAATTTTTTTATTTTTGAGGCTTTACTGAGGCTGCAGTCCCATTCAGTTGTATTCTTGTAATAATATCAATACAGGATGCTTACATGTCAAAAGCAAAGTGGATGATAAAGGGAAGAAACCCACCTTTGGTAACGTAAAGGTAGAAGAAGTCGCAGTAAAGGACAGTCTGAACCACACCGGCCACAATGGCGATCATGTCAAAGAAGCCCTCAAAGTAGTAACGCCAGATCCAGTTGAATAGGTAGAGGGCGCGGTACAGGCCCAGGCAGAACAGGTAGTGGGTGGTGATGGTCTCTGCCTCGCCGGTCTTGCTGATCATGAAGAGCTGGGGCAGGATCGCCACTGACTCCAGGTAAATGGAGAACGTCCAAAGGATCTGGAGACAGAATAATTTGTTTTATGTATAATGAGTGACCACTTGTATAAAATACAGCAAGACAGACGTACCTCTAAGGGAGAGAAGTCATGGTTGATTAGAACAGAAAGACCCCCAACAGGAACGATCAGGAACTCCACCCTGAAACTGTCATGGTTGCCATCGTAGGTGGCCCTGAACTTCATGTAGATCAGGTAGACCGTGGCATACGCACAGCCAATGTAGATCACCTGGTGATCAGCGAAGAAGGGCTTACACAAAGAAAAACAAGAGATGTTGGGGTTTTAACCAGAGAGAGCACCTTACCTTCATGCATGTGTTATACAGCGAGATAAATGAGGTGAGCAGATCCAGGTAGCGTGTCGTAAACACCAGTGAAAACAGAATTTGACTCTTTCCAGAGATCCCTGGAGAAAATAGCAAAAACAATTCAGGTTAAGCTTAGACACCAAGTCAGTAACACAAGATCTGCCGAACAGAGTAACAGGCTTTTCTTTAGAGCACAGCGACATCTACTGGAGATCAAGTAAATTAAACTGAACACCATCTTTTAAGTTGATTCCAAAGGTCTGCTGCTACCATAAAAGTTGTCCAATTTATAGAAAACAAGTATGTCAAACAACAAACGAGAGAGGAATCATTTCTTGTCTTTATTCAATATTTAAGAATTCACATTACATTTCTGCCTGAACACATTTAAATACACCGCTACAAGAGTTTCTCCTTAATCTTCAATAAAACTAATTCCAAAAAGTGCAGAAAGTAAGTAGGTGATTTATTTATATAAATACGTGTCATAGATTAAAAAATATCTTAAATGCTTTACCCAAACAGTGTCAAAATTCAGATAAAGATAAAAAACTGAAACTATGTCTGAAAAGGATCTTTAACAAATGTATTCATAATATTTTTTGAAGTGCCAGAGTGTATTTCCCTTAATCAGTTTTGATCATAAATAAAAAATTGCCTTATTTTTTCTAATTAAAGGACATGACTCCCACTGACTGATGTCAAGAGTTTTCACCCGAGATGGTGAAAGTAAAAACTTAATACAGCTACACGTCCAGACTTGTGAAAGAAATACTCCTCAGCTTCCTAGAGTAGCTATGCGGTTCTTAAAGGTTTTGCAAACAGTTTGTCAAAACAATATATTCTAGATTATTGTTGACATCAGTCTTTTGCAAGAACAACTATTAGTGCATCAGTTCATCCAATAAATGTCTCAAATCAGTGTGAATTTTGCTGACTACTGCAGCCACAGTAGTGATGCACCGATGTGAATTGTTAATATCACTGTTACGGCAAATAACCAATATTTGCCGATACCAATATACTGACATCAATGCTTCTAAAATCAGCCATTTTGTATAGAATGAAAATTATTAAAGCTGAATTTACGTTATCATGTACACACACACTTACTCTTCTGATATTATTACAATCACACGACTAAACAAAGACACATCACCCTCTGAAACAGATAAAACAAATGGAAACATGATGGAAAAAATATCGTTGTTGATACCGGCCCATTTGCATTTATCTATCCGATACCGATATGTTAAAAATGATTTACCGATACTGATATCTTGTGCATCCCTAAGCCACAGAATCTTCACTTGAACTCAAATTTATTGATGGAGTTCATCGTGTTCCAAAAGCATCCTCACTCCCTCTGTAAACATACCAAACTGCACAGAATTTTTACTTGTGCACACAGATAAAATAACACTACCAATATGCATCTCCATCACGTGAAAGTTCTTGAGTCGTGCGAATTCGAGGTTGAGTATTTGAAATGAAGATTTTTTTTTACTATTTTAAGTTAAGTTTAATAAAAAAAAAATTTAATAACAAATATAATAAATACTAGATGTCCAACAAAACATTTTATTTGCTCAATATTCTGCAAGTTTAAACTAAAGAGAACCCAAAACATGAAGATGTTAGTAGTTAAAGAAGACGTTTATTTCTTCACCAATTAAACGTGCCCAGTTGTTAAAAGTCATGGTCCACTGTAATGCTTACAGTGATTAATGTATTCAAAACATTATTTATTGAAGCTACTAACGACCCGGTATAGAAGGTCCACGGTAGCTACTTCCGTAGCGGCTCCCAGAACGCCACGTCAGAAGCCAGACCAAAGAAATCGAGCCCTAAACTTTTACACTAGACAGGTAGAGAAACCCGGTGAAACGGCCGCACTTTATTTTTAAAATAATTAAATTACACAAACTGTTTAATTCACTGTCTATTAGAAAGATGTAACCAGACTGGGCGCATTCTTTCTTTCTACAGTTAGCTCCATCAGCGAATGAGTCAAATGAATGAGCAGAAACGTTAGCTTGTGAAGCTAGCTGGTATGGAAACACGCAGTCATAAAATAGCAATCAATAACAGGCCAAGTTATTCAGAGACAACTGATAAACTACATTGTGTTCTGGATTATGATAACTAAAGCTTGAACTGACCTGCACACGACCTGCTTTTCCATATTTTGAGGAGCAGGATGATGATAGCAGCCAGATGAGAGAGATCTCCTGTCAACCTGAAAACGTTCATTTCTGCAGAATTATGTCACAGACACAGCCAGAAAGATTACGAAGATGTTATTTCTTTCTCCAAAATGGATTGTACACAGTTCCGGCAGCGTGGTAAAGCCTCTCCTGGTAACTTGGGGCACAGAGAGAACTGCGATATCCACAACGTTGATAATATGGCGAGGGTGCAGGGTCGACGTGGAAGGGGGCGGGGCGACACCTCTTATGATTGGTTAAGAAAATGACTGACAGCTCACAGGAGTCCGCCTACATGATATTTGAACTGTCCTGAGGAGGGAAACACATACACAAAGTTGGTGTTTATATATATATTTTTTTTTTCAGCAGGCATGGGCATTTCTAGCTTTTGGGGGTGCTTAATTCCTAGCACCCCTAAAGTTTGACATTATTTATTTTTTTACTGTTTGTGGTTTTTACACAGTAATATCAAAAAAATTAAAAAAGAAATACATACAATAGGTCAAAATATGTTTTAAAAACAAAAATACAGCTAATCTCCCATGGCTCAACAACGGTATCCTGCTCACCTTTCCAGGCTCTGAGGCTGTCCCTTCCTGAGTGGCTATGCTGCTGTTAGGGTGACCACGTTTCCTGCTTTCTGTAAGACAAATTCAGACAAAGCTAAAAATGTGGCTTCAATTTCAGGTTTCCAAATATTAAAGGGTATTTCCAACCTATTTTCCCACTCACATCTTTAATCTGCTCATATTTTTAAACTACAACACCTGGACCACCTGGGGTTCGTGATCCACCAAGGGTCCCCACCAAATTTGTGGGAATTCATCACATGCAAGCACGTGTGATTTTTACCTTGAAAGGCGCTATGCAAAAGATATTTTCTTCTTCTTCTTCCACAACATGTTTGTGCTGAGATTGTGAGGTTTCCACACAGCCAAGGGATCCTCCAGGACAGAAGATTGGGAACCACTGACCTAGACTCTCCAAACCTGGACCAGATTCTGCTGGAGTGTTAGCAGAATCTGTTAAACATATATGTTGTGATGTTTAAAATTGACTTAAAGGGTTAAAACTGTAATTTGATGAGTGAAAACAGTGGGTGGGGGGGGGGGTTGTTTTGTTTTTTCATAAATGTGAGAATGAAATTGTGTTAAAATAGAGAAAATGTTGAAATGTATCTTGCCTGACCGGGCAGATCTCGGGTGCTCAGCCCCCCTAAACCTGATGCTAGAACCGCCCCTGTCAGCAGGTAAATTAAAAGTGTGATTGACGCAACACAAAAACAGTATTTTAATTTTTCAATCAAAGTTGATTATAAAAATACCAACAATGTTGTTTTAATTGTATTTCCATTGTCTCAATATTCAGGGTATTTTCAAATCTTCCACTATCCTTTTGCTGCCATAGAAGGTGAATTAGATTAATTAAATTCTATCTGTACATTAACCCACGACTAATTTTTCTAACTAATTGTTGTGTTTTATTAAGTCAAACTCATGTTTTAAGCTCAAATTATAACAAAATCACATGTCCAGACTTATAAAGCTTTAGGCTTAGGGAAACCTAAATGATTCTTTAAAAGGTCATGAATAGCTATTTCACTTTTGATTAATTCACCAAGATTTTCAACTTCCAAGCATTTTTATATTTCTGTATTTTCAGTCCAGTTGTATAATTTTAAGATAAGATAGATAAGAACAACTTTATTTATCCCGAGGGAAATTGTTGTGTCATGTACATGCTCAAAGCAGTAGGAGAGACAAAGGAACAGGTGAAACAGATATAAGATATTTACAAGATGATCAGGTAAATGTTACTCTAGTGACACACAAAAACAGATAAAACAATAAAACTTTGAAACTTTTTGCAGCTCAATGTAAAAATTTAATAGTTGTAATTTAGGCTCAGATCGAAATAATGGTTTTAATATGGATATGAGGAAAGCTCGGCCATGTTTCTATTTCTTTACAATGTTGATGATGTCTGGGAATATTTTAAATACATTTATGGCTTTCCCACATTGCCCCATCACCTGTGCACAGACACTTGCACAGTTGACAGAAACCAACCGTCCTGCTTTTAGTGTGATATTTACATCAGACAAAATCATACAGCTGACAACATTTATACCAGCACGATTTATGAGAGAACTCAAAATATTCTTTTCCAACTGATAAAATAATAAAAATAATCTGATAAGAACTCACAATGTTTAAATTTTTTTCTTGGAGGAGGAAAAGGGGAAGTAGCTGTTGAGGAAGTGAGGTTAGAGACGTGTTACCATGCTTCAGTCTTTCACATCACCTCATTCAGGAAATCATAAGCTGTGGAGCTTCAGACATGGAGGGCTTGCGCTGGCTGTCTCTCCTCTTCACGCTGCTCCCTGGGACAGGTAGGATATCTGTAGCTGAATTCTGTAACTGCTTGGAAAATTAAAATAGTCTGTCTTTCAAAATAAAACTTTTTGTTCCAGAAAGCAGAGAAGAGACCGAAGGCTGCTTATCACAGCCACACAAGGCCATCTGGCACAGAATAGGACAATCCGCAGTTCTCCCCTGTAACAGCAACTGTTCAGATCCACACCAGCATTATCAATGGTTTGTTTTCAAAGAACACCACCACTTTCTTCTCACCTTGAGCAGCCGCCACAGCCTTCATGAAGCAACTCTACACATCAAGTCTCTTAACGTCAACGACAGCGGGATCTACTACTGTGCTGCAGAGTCTAAAAGTGAAACAAATTGCTGCAAACAGCACATAGGAACAGGAACAACTCTTGTTATAAAAGGTAAAAATGTGTTAACTTTAACTCATAGATGGTTCTGTACTTTATTTAAATAACCAGTTTTTATCTGTTTTAGAACAATTTAAAATAATCATGAGAAGCATTTATCTGTGGGTGTTATTCATCATCTTGGCCATCTACAGCATCGTGATAGTGGTACTTATTCTAAAGAAGGTAAATCATGTCATCTAATTGACTGTTTTGTTCACATTTAAGGAAACTCAAACTCGCAACATCAGATTTTTATTCAGCTTATTTCTGTATTTTCCAGCATGGATGCAGCGTTACCATCTGCAAAAAGACTTCCAAAACTGAAATTCGGGTAGAAATCTCCTCTTCAAATTTTCATAATTTGTTTTCTGTGAGAACATTTTTCATTTTCATAGAAAAAACTCCAAAAAGGAACAAGAGTCAGCAAGCTGACAAAGATTCATGAACCAAAACCAAAAATAAATCAGTTGCAATTCTTCTACGAAAATCTTTCTTCAAGTTTTTCAGTAAAACACCCACTTACTCTCCAAACAGAACAGTGTAAGGAAGAAATCTGAGTTTCGTGATGTGCTGCAAGAGCTACACAGCAAAGGGAACTTTAAAAAAGGCAAACGAACAAGAGGAAATCATTCTCAAGTTGAGGTAAATTGTGTTGCAGCACGTTGGAGTTTTTACTCAGAGACTGCAGGAACTTCTGCAGTTGCATTTCTTTATCACATGTTTCAAATGAGTCTTATTATCCTTCTAGCCAGAAAGCAGAAACATTTCCACTGATGACATCTACCAAAATGTGTAGGAGTCATCTGAGAGTGTTAAAGAAGAATTAAAGAAGAATTCCATTTCCTGACAAGAGCAAAAAAATCAGCAGAACGTCTGACTCAGAAGACCGTGACAAAAAAGCCTCAGTGCTGAGTTCCCTTTCTCGTCTGACTTTTGACCTTGGCAACATTACACAGAGCTGCATCGCACCTTTTTCAGCTCATCCATTTATCTGCATTAATGACGATGCAGAAAATGTTGAAGGTACAGCCACGAGTTGTTATTTTTAGCACTGTATGCTGTAGTGTTGTGCCAATCTCCTCGTAACATTTCCTCAAACTTTACTGAAGGCCATCACCTGCTGCCTTGGAAACTAGCATTCCTCGCTATGTCTTTTTATCTCAGAATTATGAGGAAAAAAAGTCAGCATTCTGAGATCAAAGTCATGATTCTGATAAAAATAAGTCAGAAAGCTGAACTTAAAGTTAGAATTTTGAGGGAAAATGTCAGATTTCTGAGAAAAACGTCAGAATTCTGAGAAAAAGTCACAATTTTGAAATCAATGTCAGAATTCTGAGAAAAAAGGTCAGATTTCTGAGAAAATTTTCACAATTCTGAGATTAACCTCACAATTCTGAGAAAAAAAAGTCAGATTTCTGAGAAAAAAGTCAGAATTCTGAGAAAAAGTCAATTGTGAGATCAAAGTCAGAATTCTGAAATCAAAGTCAGAATTCTTAAAAAATGAAGTCAGATTTCTGAGAAAACGTCACAATTTTGAGCTCAAAGTCAGAATTCTGAGAAAAAAGGTCAGATTTTTGAGAAAATTTTCACAATTCTGAGATTAACCTCACAATTCTGAGAAAAAAAGTCAGATTTCTGAGAGAAAAGTCAGAATTCTGAGAAAAAGTCAATTCTGAGATCAAAGTCAGAATTCTGAAATCAAAGTCAGAATTCTTAAAAAATGAAGTCAGATTTCTGAGAAAAAGGTCAGAATTTTGAGAAAAGGTCAGATTTCAGAGATCTAAGTCAGAATTCTGACTCCTTCTCAGAACTCCGATTGTAATCTCAGAATTCAGATTTTTTTTCTCAGATTTTGACTTAAATCTCAGAATATTGACTTATTTTTCCTTTGAACTCTGACTTTTTTTCTCAGAATTCTGACTTTTTTTCAGAGATCTGACTTCATTTTTTCAGAAATCTGACTTTGATTTCAGAATTCTGACTTTTTTCCTCAGAATTCTGAAATTCAGAATTCTGAGAAAAAAGTTCAGATTTCTGAGAATAAAATCAGAAATCTCTTTCCTTTCCTTTCATTTTTTTAAACTTTCAGGGGCCCTATCCTCTTCTTTAGTGGATGAGGGCGGAACTGCAATTTTCACCCCTGACTTGCTGCCTTTAAAGAGACAGTGGCAAGGCCCCTGTTGAAGAAAAGTAATTAGATTTTAACAATTTAAACAAATTCTGACTGGTATCTAACTTATCATTTATAAGTACATTTTTAGAAAAGCTTATTTTAAATCTATTTAATGATTTTATTAACATTCACAATATCCTAGAGAAATTTCAGTCTGGATTTAGGGTGAACCACAGCACAGACAGCCCTTTTAACGATTTTAGAGTAAACTATGATGCCCAGAGGGTGACAGTGTTGGTTCTACTGGATCTAAGTGCTAGCCTGGCCTGCCAGACTCCTCCTGTTTAATTCTGCACAGAGAAAGGGTCTGGGAACTCTCCTATTGAAATAACCCCCCTCCCTGAGAATTCTAACAGAGCCAATCAGTGCTGGGTATCGTACATCACACACCATAATGCAGTTTGTTTTACTATTTTTACAATTATATTGATCGCTATTTATTTATCTTTCTTTATATTACCTCTTGTGATTTTATTCCTTTACTTATTCAAATACTTAACAGCGTTTCCTCTGTGGGAGTCTTCCTTCTCAGGGCCGGTGGTCGGCAGCAGTGGCCTGGGTGCTCTTCAGGTAGTGCTTGGGTGTAGGTGGGGGCCCTCGCTGTCCCTCCTCTGGGTGCCCTGTGTCAGTGCCCTGCTGCTGCCATGGATCTGTTGGGGCAGACGGTTCCCCTGATGGCATTTCTTTACGTACCTGACTCATCTGAGCTCAGCCCAGTGTTTACTTATGTTCTCAAGTGTTGTGTGTGTGCATGTGGGTATGTGTGTGTGTATGTGCACAGGGTTGGGGGAGGTTTTTTTTATTTGCCTGACATTTGTGGGTTATGTGGTGTCTTTTGAATCTGTAAACATTTTTTGTATGAAAAGCGCTTTATGAATAAAGTTTGATTGAGAATTTTGGGGACTTGAATACAACTAGGGTGTTTCTCAATGTCAAGATGCCTGGCCTTGCGAGGCCAGGCGCCTTGCTAACAAGGACACTGTCCTTCCTTGGTCAAAGAAAATGGTTAAATGGAACAGACTTGCATCACGTGACCACGGCTTCCACGGTGTTCACGTAACGTCACGTGACACAGGATATAACGTTATATTTTATATGTATTAGTTTCAATATAAATATATAACGAGCTTATTACTTTTTAAATTCTGTATATGTTTATTAAATTAAAAATATAAGCGAGTTACTACCCGCTAGCCACCGAAGCGGCAACTACTAAGCAACTAACCAACCGTAGAGCTCCGGGAGTTGACGTCACTTCTCCCGGCATGCAACTGTTCAAATCGAAACAGCGCCATCTTGGCAGGCAGAAGCCCGCAGCTGGGCTATTTGGTATTGTCAGAAAACTCAAACGGGAAATATGGTAGATTCTTGTTATGCCCCAGGATGCAGAACAGACGCGGACGACATAAGGGATGAGCCATGTACAGGATTCCCCAAGATCCGGAACAACGCAAACGTTGGATCATTGCAATAAAACTCGCTAGTGAACGGGCTAAAATGAAGCTGTGGGACCCCGAGAGTAAAAGTTTTCGCTTATGCAGCGACCGCTTCATATCAGGTACTTAAATCAACGTTTCCTCAACTGTGTATGGTATTTATTTTAAATGCTTTTATTACGATTCTTAGTGGGCTTCCTAAACTTATTTTGGCGTGGCTTTTTCTGTCTTATTACTCATAGCAACAAGTAAACATCACGTAAAACATTGCCTCGTGATTTCTGCATGCTGCCGTTTACGTGTTTTATGATCACAGCAATCAACCGGCTAAGCTGTATTTCATTTTTAAGCAATGGCTGATCAATTATCAGATCACACATAAAAAGCACTTTGGATTGCTATTATCTGTCTCACCGAGACAGATCTCAGACAGATCCTGAGACGCTCCTGCCTGACATATTTATTTTTTCACAGAAAAAAAAAATCAGACTAATGATTTCTCTTGGCGTTCAGTTTATACATTCAAACAGCACAGCACTCTATTTAAACTTCTTACATGTAAATCTGTTTGTCTATCCATCCATTTCATCCGCTTATCCGGAGTCGGGTCTCGGGGGCAGTAGCCTAAGAGAGGCCCAGACTTCCCTCTCCCCAGCCACTTGGGCCAGCTCCTCCGGGGAAATCCCAAGGCGTTCCCTAGCCAGGCCCAACAGCTTCTGGCATTTTTAAAAAGTATCCCAGGGGCATGGTAAGGGTCGAAGATGTTTAAGCTATTTAATTTCTGACTATATAAAATGATTTCTTCGGTTTTAAAGTGTGAAGTAAACTCAGAGTAAAATCCAAGTCGATCCTGTTCATTTTGTTTACCTTTGTAGCCTGCCAACATGGCAGAGCACTGAGAGTCACTTGACGTCCGGAGCTCTATAGATAACTTCTTTGGATCTAAAAAAAACATTTTAAATTAGCTGACTTACTTTTAAACTTGAAAATTGTCCCCGAAGTAGCTGCCGGCTTCTGATCCGCCGTCTTTTTGAAAATACCGCAGTGTATTCTGGGTAATTTTTGACCAAGGCTAGGCTACAAGAAACCTCCCATGTATCCTTGCTCAGCTAGCTAAACGGCTAACAAATGGAAAACACACACCACGGTAGAACATGAACATTGGAACACGTCTTGGCGGCTCCCGATGACGAATCTCCTAGGCAACCGGGGCGGGGCCAAGACAGCAAGGCAAGGTTCCTTGGCATTGAGAAACACCCCTATTAATATTTACAAAGTGCTCTAAAAATGAAAAAAAAATTATGCATGATTACGATATAGTTCTTTTTTTTATAGATGGAAGCAAAACAGTGTTTCTGCCTAGGCGAATCCATTATGACTTTTACAGTAAATATGATCTTATATTGCAATTCAAATTGTCTTGGCAACTTATCTTTTCCTTACTAAAACAAGTTCCACACTTATTGTAAAGTTCTTATCTGTCATTCAAGCATGTGTGACATTTAATGCTGCTGCTACGTGAAGCCTGGTCCACCAGTGATTAAGCTCGTCACTCAGACTGATAATAACACAGAACAGTGCCAAAAGATGCCAACATTTTTAATCAGAAAATATGTTGCTTTACACTGAATTAGATCAACTTTGATTTAAAGGACTGCTGAACTGTAAACTTAAGTAAAACTCTTAATAATATCCACAGCAGGTTTTACACTTCAACATTGAAACAAGTTCAGTTACTCTGCGGAGTACTTCCTGATGCACTAGCCCTGTTTCAGGTTACAGTACCATTCTGATTAACACCAGGTAACTCAAACACAACAGCAACCCTAGAATTAAGGAAAAGCTACAGTCTCTGTAGTAAATAACCCAGATCAACTTTCTGGGCATTAGGAGGAGACTAACCATCACCTGGGATCCACTCTCTTCTTTGTGTAGAAAATAGAGGTACCCCGTTTCATTTTTATCTACCTGATGTCACCAATCAGCTGTCGCACCAAGTTGATTTACAGCTAAAGAGCGGAAATTGGTTCTGAAAATCTTTAATAAAGTCTAAACTGGAAAACATTCTAATTTATTGATCAGAGAGCAGACGCTAGCTGTCGATGTATTTAGTGTCGACTGTGTGACTATTGCGGATGGAGAACGGCCTCCAGGCCAGGACTTGTACAGCAGCAATGCACATGGGAAACAGGCAGACCAGGTAGAACATGACACCATGGAGGCTTTCCAAAGAGCTGAAAACAGAACACAAAGGTTTCAATGTTAATTTAATTAATCACACCTTTAAAGATTTTTCCTGTTTCTGACATTAAAGCTGCTATAGCGAACATTCAGAACAAGCTACGTTTTGAACGCAAACGCAGTCACATTCATGCCTCCCCTCGGGTATCTTCCCTGAGATGCTCCTGTCTGAACCGGAAATGTTGTCTGTGACTTAAATAGCAGTGTTTCCCTCTAGCACAACTGTTACCACCTTACCCGCTCTCATGGCAGTGAAACCGTCCACGAATGTACACCCCCCTGCTCTCATGGACAGCACATGGCAGCAAAACGGTCCTGAGCATGCACCTTCAATTATTGATGGTGAGACTGTCTAAAAGCAGAAATCCAGAGAGAATAATGAATATTTTTAAAATAAGATGGCCTTACCCTGTTCTGTGATATAAAGGCATTCTTTATTTTTCCTATGCTTCTCCCCATTCCCATAGAGTCCCATCCAATTTGTTAAAAAGTTAAAGTCCCACTAGTTGTCACGTGTGTGTGTGTGTGTTTTTGTGTTCTCCGCATTTGACGCACACTCCCTTGGGGAGTGGTGAGCTGCAGACACGGCTGCGCTCAGGAAGCATTTGGTGGTTTAATGAGCAAATTGCCAGTTAGAGCCTCCTTAGAAAAACTATTTAGAGAAACATAACGAGAACACGTTATTAAAAAATGTACACACAAATACATTTTTTAAGCTTTGGGAGTTGTTTTTGTGAGAAAATGTTTTTCTGCCAAACCAGACGTGATGCAGGCAGAGAGAGTTGTTAGTTTGATCAAGAGAAAAATATGGATTTTAATGCCGGCTCTGACACAGAGGACACTTTAATTGTTTACAATTATATTGATGGTGGACCAAAAACAGTTATGAGCCTGCTGCACGCCCCAGAGAGCAGAGGCAAGCCAGAGGGAGAAATGATGGCCAAAGGAGAAAGATTTAGCTGTGGTGTCAGGAGGTTCTGTGGAGGTGTCTCGGTGAGTGAACAATGCTAGCTAGTTAGCTAGCTAGCTTAAAATTGTGTACTAACATCACAATGATTAACAGATTACTGTCATGTACCTGTCAAATAAAATAGTATTGGTCAGTCAATATATTATTGATTCTTGATAATAATAAACTATAATGAGCGTTTGTCAGCTGTTTCATACTCGTTAATATCCGTTCACCTAATGTAGATTAGCAGCGACTCTGAGCTGGTTCTGACCCAGAAACCAGCATCCCCGGCTCGCTAGGAATTTTTGAAAGCTCTCCATCCGCTTCTGGACCTCAGCGCGGACCTCCCTGACCTGGTTCGGATGCTGATCTGGACTCTAGAAGCTGGCAAGTATTTTTCTAAACACCACCATGGGGCATGTTGAACTCCCATCACATCATTGTGATTGTAATCCTCCGGTCTGAAGTGTACCCCACAAACAACCACAAACAAACTTTCCACAGGCACATTATCTACATTTAATTTATGTAAATATATATTAGTCTTGTGGCATCAGCTGAAACCAGATCACCGGTCTTTCAGTCTCACATCTATAGTTTTCTTTGGGCATTAGTATGTTAGCCAAGCAGTATTTTGTTTTATGAAACCCAAAATAAAATTCAAAAAGTATGAAAGAATGAAAAAAGCAAACATGTTGTGGGATTTACACTCAAAACAACTAACATGGGTTTTTTAAAAAGTGACAAATAAATGCTTATGTTATTAAAAAGCAACCATCCATCCATCCATCCATCCATCCACTTTCGGCCGCTTATCCGGGATATTAAAATGCAAAAAGAATCAAATAAAATCTCCACACCTTGGGCTTGATTTCTGTCCAGCTTCTTTCAGCTGTTCGTATCCAAACTGATTCAGGATGGTGAGAACGATCATCGGAGCCAGGGACTGAGCCGGCTTGGTGAACAGAGCATTTGTTCCAAACACCATGGAGGAGAGAGGAGAACTAACAAAACATGAAGTCAATTAAATTCATTAGACTGAGAATAAATATGCTGTTTGGGGATGAATAACAACATTATACATAAAGTGTCAGGTGCTATAAGTATCTTGCTTGGAGTGGAACAAATTCTACACCAAGTCAAACAAAGAGAATTTACTTTAATAGTGAATTGATATTTATATTTAGCCCTTAAGGACCCGTGGTGACACTGGTGTCACAACCAATTTCAAACTTCTGCAAACTTGCTTCTTGAGTCAAATTGTCAAGTTTGAAAACCCCAAGTGACATTTGGTCCATACATATTTAGAAAATAATTAAACTTCATTTTTAAATTTAATTCTTTTTTACATTTTGATGCATTTATTACAATCTGTTTTCTAATTCAAAAGGGGTTGGGTCCTAAAGGGTTAAATATAAAAATGCAAGCTCACTAGCTGGCTTCAGAAGAAGCTTTTTAAGGTACAAAATGTCCCATGATTGTCTAAGATGCCATTATTATAATGGTGGTCATATTAATGGGCCAAATTTCTTCTGAATGGATTTCCAATAAAATTGCTAAATATAATGAATGATTATTTCTGTGATGGAGCTCATTTTCCTGCATCTGTTCTTGCTGCAAAACCAGTTGCTCTTACGGGACATTTTAAAAAGTTGTGTTCAGTCTTAGTCCATATTTTTCCATTTAGCACTTCTCAAAATTATAAGCATTGCAAAACTTGTATGACCATTATTGCGTACCTGCGTTTGTATTTCTGCAAATCTATGTCAATTATATCAGCCAGTGGCAAACCAAAGAGGCTGAAGGCTGCTTGTATTATAACCCTGGAAGAGGGACAGAGGAGATCAATTAGATCTAATGTTTTCAATTAAAAACAGTCCCATACAGGATCCCATTCAATGCTTCTTACGTGCTAATAGTGAGAAAAAAAGCCAAGAAGTAGTAGTGCTGAGCACCAAGAAGCAGCATGACTACTGCCATTCCAGCTTCTAGGTAGAAGGTGAAGAGGATGATTTTGTAGTAGCCGAAATCCTGCAGCAGCCTCTGGCTGCTCAGCACGAGGAGCTAGGGAGAATAAGATGTGTCACATAATGAGCCACATAAATGAATGATGATAAAGGGATGTTCTACCCCTAAGTAAAATTGTCTCTATTGCTATATTCCTCATAGTTAGATAAGTAACCAGCCCAGTCATTCTCCTGATCCGGCAGTACTCTTTTGGCTTTAGCTTAGCATAACACAATTTAAGTGAATCGTACCAACTAGCCTTGAGTGTGAAAAAGGTCATTGTGTGTGTGTGTGTATTTTATGGTAGTTCGCAAACAAAAAGTGCATTTGTGTCTATGGAAGCAAGTGTCTTTGGGGCGGCTGCGTCGTGTATGTTCACTTTTCAGCAGAAGCTTACAGCTATGCTTTGTCATAAAGTAGTCCCAAGTCTAAAATGGCGCCTGTGATTATTTTGTGTTAGTTATTTTCAGTTGCAGTCAATATAATTATTGAGGTCACCAAGCAGAATCAGGATAACTATTGAGTCATTTTAATGACTTTTTCACACTCAAAGCTAGTTGGTGGTACCATTCACTTACATTGCTTTATGCTAAGCTAAAGCTAAAAGAGTACTGCTGGATCAGGAGAATGACTGGGCTTATCTATCTATGGGTAATATAGCAGCAAATAAAATGTTACTTTGGGGTGGAATATCCCTTTAAGTAGTGTCTGTAACATTTTAATTAGCTCTAATTAGATTGTTCTGGTACAAAAATGCATTCAAACTGATGAAGACGTTTATTTTAAAATGAGCACTCACATTCTTTGAGTTTGACAAGTATGATGAGTAAATTGGTGGAACTTAACTTAAAACTTGGGCTTTTCAGTTCACGTTGGATGAAAAAAATGGCATATAAATGGGCTTTTAATCCCTACCTGTGGTAAGATGAATCCTGCTCCATACATGATGCTCTTGGCCAGTGATGGAAGTACGTCTGGAGGAATCAGGTGCTCCGTGAATATCATGGTGAAGTTATTAAAGAAGGCCAGCATGAAAACCTGGAAGAAATTCATCAGCACAAACAGCTGGAAGTCCCTGTTGGTGAGGATCTGCCACGTCATCGTCTTCAACGTGGAGAAGGAGCACCCCGTCTGATCCACCGCCTGGTCACTAGACCCAGGAAGGGCCGCCTCAGATGCTTTATTATCAAAGCGGGTTTCACTGTGGAGGCCTGTGTAGATCATGCAGATGCAGCTCAGAATGGCAATTAGCACGGTGAAGGTCTGAAAAGCTGGAAAGTGTTCCATGTTTTGGGACACCATGCCACAGAAGAGGACACTGGAGGATCCGATGAGAGAGGCCACCTGAGGAAAGGACCACGGTAGACTTAGAAAGAGAATGGATTCACTGGAAAAGTGCAGGGAAAAGATGATGTCTGTACCTGATTGTACTTTATCAGCCTCAGTCGGCTCTGATGATGGCTGGAAATCTCCGCAAATAAGGCACACTGTGCAAGCAGCACAAAAGTCAATAAGGCATCAAAAGCACACAGTGCTACTGTTAAATGTAAGCCACACAACCAATCATCAGGAGAGTATGATCGCCATGGAAACCAGGCTAGAAGAAAAGCCAGGGAGTAGAGGGGGGCACCATATAGGATAGAGAGGCGTCTCTGGGAACAGCAGGGAACCTTGGAGTTATCTTGCAGGTATCCAAAGAGAGGGTCGTTGACGGCATTCCACACCATGTACACCACCTGAGAGCAGAAGGGTCACCACAGGTCTGAAATCAACTGAATGGGCTAAAAAACTGCTGTTCTTTGCTCGTGTAACAAAATCAAAGTCAAAGTCATTTATTGTCATTTCTACCACATGTGCAGGACATACAGAGAAACGAAATTGAGTTTCAGCACACACAATTCAAAGATCAGACATACGTGGGTAAGACACATAACAAGAATTGGTGACTGCGGTCATTCGCAACATGAGTCGCGCTACCTTAATAGATAGATGAAAAGGGTGTCATAAGCATTGAACAAATAAACATACGAACATAATACAAGGGTAATTGAAAACATAAGATCATACAGTGGACAAAGTTCAATGAAACAAGTACAAATGTGTTATGTAGGAATCAGTCCAGAGTCCAGGGAAAAGATGCACAAAGCAGAAAAACAAGTTTGGGCTTTAGGGCTGGTCATGGTCTTTAAGGATTTGGTATACTGATGAAAATCATTCTTAAAGTTATTGAAGGATGGGACACACTTTTGTATATATTTTTTCCTAAGAATAAAATGTTTGGCCAGACAGATAATGATATTAATACAAAGTTCTTCATTTTTATCTTTTAAAGATGGACTAAAAGTTATATGGTCTCTTGACAGAGAAGGTGGCGATGATGGAATCTTGCTTGTGTAGGGTTTGGTAAATTGAGTGCTTTAAGAGCTCAATATATATATATTACCTCTACTTATGACCAATAAGCTGTGATACTCTATATAAATATAGAATATCAACCTGCTTGGTCTTTACTGTGCTTAATCCGAAGATTCTAGGATTCTTTGTTTTATTCAGGGATTGTAAACACTTCGTTTTGATTTAAAGAAAGAGTCAGGTTTGTAAAAGTAAGATTCATTTTCCAAACAATTAAAACATGACAGGTTAACTAATATTTACTGTGATGGATGAATCTAGACGTAGCATATGGTGCCTATGTGTGAATGCGATATTATCAGAACTTCCGTATCTAGGAAAGCTGAGTTCTGGAAGTAAAATAATTTGGTTTGCCTTAAGCCAGGGATTCCAAAAGTGTGGTGCGCGCACCCCTGGGGGTGCGCGAGCTGCCGCTAGGGGGTGCGCGAGGTGAAAAGTGTAATGGCTGCAGAGCTCAGAGAAGTCTGTCATATGTCACCATTAGCGTAGCCAGAAACTCATTTGTGAGTGGGCCTAAGAAAAAGTAAGTGGGCACAATAAATGTAATTGAAAACAAGTATATTTTCACGCGTGTGCCCTCCACATGTGCCCTAGCTTCATAATAATAATGCGCCAAGCTTCAGCGCTCTGGCCTGCGCACGCCGATATGTTTCGTATTTGATCATTTTTAACGGTGTTGGAGGAATCTGAAGGTGGTGAGTCATTCTGGCAGATTGTAATTGTAAAACATTGTAGATGTAACTAAATAAATCAAGGAATGATTCCCATTCAGGCTATTAAAAGCGTGCTGAAGATCTGAAGTTCAGAGTGCATCTGTCAGAGGTCAGACGCGTTCCAGCGGAACCACGGCTCACGGATGCACATGTGAGCACATCTGGACTGGGCAGAAGTTTAAATAGCGCCAATAACGAGACGCGGTGACTTAAACGCTACAAGTTGTGAAGCGCGTTCCATCCGCGAGCCGCATCACCAAGCGGAAAGTGAATGCGTCAAGCATAAACCAAGCCTCATGGAGCTGTGCCGCGCGCGCGCACGCATGCACGCACGCACACACGCACACACGCACACACACACACACACTAATCAACATTGTTTTGTTTAACTTTGTGTGGGAAAATGCCAAGAACGTTAAGAAAAAAATCTGTTTAATCAAATTAAAAAATATATATAAAGTTGTCTGGTTCTAGCATTTCATATTTCCTAGTTCCTACTGCATGAGTTCAGATGTATTAATCCATGCACTCAAATATTAATGTTCTGATTTTATTGAAAAACTTGTTCTGTAATAGTTCCTTTACTATTGTGATCAAAAATATTTAATCTCAATTCTGAGGCTGCTCTGTAAATAGTTTTCAAATAAACAATACACATAGCAACTTCTGATCAATCCATATCAATTTCAGACTTAAAATAATACATTGATGTAAACCACGCCCACTTCCGGTTATACCACGCCCACTCCTGGGTTATGCCACGCCCATTCCGAGAACAGATACAGATAATTTAGTTGGTTGAACAGATACAGATACAGATAGTGGTGTACTCGCTCATCCCTACAAGACAACCTCAGAAACATGCCTTCTCAGACACTGGATGCTCTGATCTGGGATAAAGAAATATCTATGTTTCACACGTTTGGCTTAACTTTAACTTTGTCCTTGTGTGAGTGTAAATGGTGATGGCCTTGTCATATCAACATTACTGATCCATCTATAAATCAATGTCATCATAACAAAACATTAATTTCAAACTTCAGTCATTCAAGCACAGATTAATGAAAGAATTTCATTATATTATAATTATTATAAGTAACAATAAACAAACGTTTATTTAATGATTATTTAACTTAAGTGTTTAATTTATTAATATTAACATTTAATTTAAGAAATCATTCTTTGATTTAGCGACTAATCCGAGCTGCGAGTTTTCACTTATTCAGAGGCATAAAGAATCCTGTAGGACGATAAGGAAAGCCTTGAGGAGGCCTTGAGAAGGGAACATCATTGTTGACAATACGTTATCACGTATCAAGTTATTACCTTCAGAGCTGCAGAGAGGCTCTGAGCTCCAGCTGATGGGATGAGGGCAGGCAGATTAAAGGGAACACATGCAGTCTTGTGTCTCCATTTTGACCAGATATTGAAGAGTTAAACTGTACTTAAAAACTGACCATTGATGGACATTACACTTGTCAACCAAGTTCGGAGTGGTAACCAAAAGTTACGTATCATGGTGCAAAAAAAAGGTGGTCAGTTGTTTCAATATCCAAATCACAAAAAATGCAGACATTATCGTTAATGTTAAAGCGGTTCCTCGGTAATTCTTTGGAAGGGTATATGTTATTCATAATTTTATAGTGTTTCTTTTGCTTTAGGGGCTATAGGAAATGATAGAAATTTTGTTCTTGCGTTAGTAATAAACTCTTTATCAAATTATTTATAATATTGTTTTTACTTTGTCTTTCCGGGAACAGCCGATATGTTAAACATTTTCTGATCAAAAGATTGTTACTTTTTTTAATCAAGAAAATTATTATTTTGGATAGAAATTTTAGGTAGGAGTGGTTGAATCTTCTGATATTTTACTATATTTTGGGTAAGAAGAATAAATGCGGGGCACTTGTAAAAATTCCATATAGGGTGGACTGAAATTAAATTGGTGCAAAAATGTTGACAATTAAGTAGATTACCTTCATTATCCATTAGATGAGTTATAAACCAGATACCTCTATTAAACCATTCTCTAAAAAATAAAGATTTATTGCAGTGCAGAACATTTCGGTTTTTCCAGATTATTGTAGAGTGTGGTGAAAAATTATGTGTATATTAATTTCCAATATAATAAGATTTGTTTATGGATGTCTGATAATGTTATGGGAAGTTTGTTAATTTAAAAGTCTGAGATGAGTAGTACAGTGGTGTGAAAAACTATTAGCCCCCTTCCTGATTTCTTATTCTTTTGCATGTTTGTCACACAAAATGTTTCTGATTATCAAACACATTTAGGTTTGGATTTTGTTCTCTCCCTAAATAATAAAAACCATAATTTCAAAACTGCATTTTGTGTTTACTTGTGTTATCTTTGACTAATGGTTAAATGTGTTTGATGATCAGAAACATTTTGTGTGACAAACATGCAAAAGAATAAGAAATCAGGAAGGGGGCAAATAGTTTTTCACACCACTGTATGTTCAAACCACCAAGCTGACTGAATAGGAAATTGGGGATACAATACCAAAATGAACTATAGTGTTTAATCCAGGATTTTAACGACTTTATTTTGAAGGTGCCATTAAGGCAGTCTAGATCAATAACTTTAAGGCCGCCATCCTCTTATCTCCTTGACTAATATGCTCATTTTAATATACTGTGGCCTGTTTCTCCAAATGAAATTTAAATTAATCCTATTGAAAGATTTTATTGCATTGCTTGAGATAGCATTTGAATAGAGGGGGAAAATACACCTTGAAAGGCTTTCCATTTTTGTTAAGTAAATTCTGCCTAATATTGATGTATCCCTTTGAAGCCACAAGTTCAATTTTTGTTTGCAGTCTGATGGACTGAGACTGATCTCAGACTTAATTATACAAAATCAAGTCTGGATTAATTCTCAGTTCTGTGAAACCAATTCATACCTGCTGCATTCCTTTGTCTGCATCTGTGTGTGTGACTCTGTTGCCCGTGAGGTCGTACATTTTCTGAGCTGGTTCAGTCCCACGGTTCTGTTGCAACCTTTTTGACTTCCTAAAATGGGAAGGGGCAAGAGTGGTGTCTCTTATCTTGGAGAAGAGTCCAGGTGTAAATGAGCTAATGGTGTAAATAAACAGATCATGTACTTTTAAAATTGATAAACCCACTAACTAGCATGAAGGAGAAGATTTACTGTTCCTCCCCAAGATTATGTAATCCCAAGGAGAAGAGGATACACGTGACCAGACGTTGAGCTCCAGAAGCAGAATGGGGGTGTTGCCATGGAGAAGCAACCCGTGAAGAATGCAGAGGGGAGGCTGGACAGAGTGAATAAAAGGAAGCTACTGAGCTTTGTGGAGAGAGCTTGATGGGATGAGTGAGTCAGTCAGTCATGGACTGAGCCTTTTGGAGAGGGGCTTGATGAGTGGAGGTTGAGTTGATTTGGGGAAGAGAGTTTTTTGATCTTGTCTGTGACCCGCTGCGATGGGATTTTCATCTTTTTTTCTGTTTGTGGAATAAAATTTGTTTCTCACTGCGAGGAACTTAAAAAGAATCCACATTCTGGGGGTCTCCTCCGTCGGTAATCTACGAGAAAGATGAGGCGCTGGTTACCGTATCCCATCTCAAAAGGTTAA